TACGCCTTCATGTGTGCAACTTATGCAATAAAACGTTTACACAAAAAAGTAATCTGAAAACCCACATGATCGTTCACAGTGATGAGCGCCCCCATAAGTGCAACAAATGCGATAAGACATTCAAAACGTTGGGTGGTCTGAAGGTACACAACGTTCAGCACTCACATCAATGCAGTGTATGCTATGAGATATTCGAAGAATTGAGTAATTTTGAAAAACACATGATGATTCATGATAAAGAGTAAACTTATAAATGTGAAATATGCAATGAGGGATTTACGCAACCGAAAGGTTTGAAGAGACACATGGCACTTTATGGTGTGAAATTCAATGAATTATTACTAACTCCAAATATGATTGTTTCAAAATGTCATGTATTATTAAATGATTGTAAAATGTGTAATAAATCATTATGTTAATAAATAGTATGATATTTTATTGATTCTATTAATAATTTTGAAACATTGATTATTTTTATAAGTCAAATGTTTAGTTACGGTACAGGAAGTTCCAGCAATTTGCCTTAACAAAGCTATGTACCACTTTAGTTTTATAAGGGGTTTCTTAAGTTTTATTTTTTAACTTCCTGTAGGGCAAGTTATAGTAATCGCAAAAAAATCAAAAAAGAAAATTTTTATATATCTTTACGTTTCAGAGGTTTCTGAACATTTAGGCATACCTTAGAAAAAATGTATGTATGTATGTGTGTGTGTGTGCGTGTGCGGATACAAATTTTCGTCGACGATTTCGGGAACACGAATCAACCGATTTGAATAATTTAAAAAAACATTCGATTTGAATTGATAACAAGACGTGCTGATTAGTTTTTGGCGAAGGCAGGTCTAGCCGTTCCGAAGATACGGGGCAAAAAGTGCCTAAAACGGTAACTCTGAACGGAGCGTCCGATTTGAATAATTCAAAAAACATTTTATTTGTATTGACTAAATGAAGAACTGTTCAAAATTTTGGAAAGGCAGGTGCAACGACTTTGGAGATATGGAGGAAAAAGTAAAAAAATGAGCCATTTGGCGGTCAAAAATGATCATTAGACATATGCACATCAAATTATCAGACATTTTATAGAGATTTTAACAATAAGTATACATTTTGTTAACATTCCTATCGGTTCCGTACCAATGTTTATACGTTAGACGGCGATGCGGCGCTTACGCGATTTGATATTTCGTCTTTATGCAGTTAAAGCAGTATGAATGCTTTGAAAAAACCTTCAGAATTACCAAAATATGTCAAAATGAAGAAAACATTTTTCTTTTCAAAAAAAATTTGTTTCGAAGTAAAATTTTTTCAAAAATGTTAATTGTTTTTAAAAAAATAATCATTTTTGGTACGGGAAGTTCCGGCAATTTGCCTTAAGGCACGATGCCTTAATTGCATTAAGACACAATTCCACTTACAGCTAGTTATTCATTATTATGGAATCTGACCTGATTATTAATCTTTTTCTGGGCAGATTCAATTCTATCAATCTGATATTTATTAATTGTCAGAGTTGATTCAGAAGCACTTAAAAATACAATTATAATGAATCTTATATATAAAAATGGATTGCAAAAGGTGTTGGTAAGGGCATAACGTCTGAACCAATTTGGCCAATTCTTTTTTTAAAATGTTCGTTGAAGTCCAAGGATGGTTCTTACGGCAAGAAAAAATCGAATAATTGCCGGGAAAACCCTGAAAACAGCCCTTTACTTTTTTACATACAAACGTTTTCTAACTAAAACGTAAAATCAATTTGAGCTTTATTGCTATTATATAAAGTTCATATTAAATTACAAGCATTCGCTGTATACTCCTTCTAAACGATTATTCGGATTTTGATAAATCTTTCTGAAGCATGTTAAGGAAATTTTCTAGGATGTATGCGATTATAAAGTACTGGGATGTATGTGCAATATTGTATAAGTAAATGGAAACAAATGCAAAAAACGACATGTCATTGTTTGCATTGAAAATAAATGACATGTCGCCATAAATTTCAATTTACCTATGAACCTAGACAATATTAGAATATGTGTAATAAGTTTATGATTATGAATAAGAAAAATGAAATGTCTACATTGAAAAAGCAGCTGAGATGTGCCAGAAATTTAAATAATATAAAATACAGTATATGTATGGCAGATTGAATAATACACATATGGACAGGATATGACACATTAATTCACTTGAAATATGAAATTCAGGGCGGTCCTACCTTTAATGCGATGCATGCGAAACATACGAGCGCACGCCTTAGGGGGCGCCAAGACAAAATTCGGATATTAACTTTTCAATATAGTTTTTATTTTCAATATATAATTTCTTTGCATTCTTTTACTGAACTTTCCACAATATTTTTAAAATTCGTAAAAAATTCATTTTATAACAACAAATAGGAAAGTAAAGATGAATACATACAATTCGGGCCTCGCGATATTGATTAGGAGAAGTTTAAGATGCCATTTTGGATATCTTGAATAATAAAAAATTAAATTAATTTAATTCAACCTGAAATACCAATCTTATGTTATGGTTATGGTTATGTTATACCGTTTAAAATAATTCAATTTTCAATATAGTGTGAGAATTGAGACTCATCATTTTATTCAAAGCAGTTCTACATTTAACATCGCTCATATGGATGTATATGCATTTTGGCATGAAGAGTAATTTAAAAAACCACAATTTTTATTTTTAGATAAATGGTAAATATAAGTATATTAGTATATTTATATAAAAATTGCAGACATGGGTACAGGACAACGCCTGTCGGGTCATCTAGTATATAATATAATTCCATATTATATTTATAAAATTATTTATTTACAATCATTAAATAATGCATACCAATAATATTTGAAGTTAGTGATAGTTCATTGATTTTCATCATTCTTTTCATTTAAGGATACTCTGTCATGTACCTGCATGTGTTTTTTCATAGTACTCAATCGTGTGAATCCCTTATTACATACATTGCATTCATGGGGGCGTACTCCACTGTGTATCAGCATGTGTCTTTTCAAATGACTTGATACTTGGAACGTCTTATTGCATATCCTGCATTCATGGGGGCGCTCCCCACTGTGAATGAGCATATGGCTTTTCAAACTACCTAATTGTGTGAATGTCTTATTGCATATGTTGCACTCGTGGGGGCGCTCACCACTGTGAGTGACCATGTGGCTTTTCAGACTACCTAATAGTCTGAATGTTTTATTGCATGTATTGCATTTATGAGGGCGTACTCCATTGTGCAGCAGCATGTGAGTTTTCAGATCACTTGTTGTTGTGAATGTCTTATTGCATGTGCTGCATTCGTGGGGGCGTACTCCGTAATGGATTAGCATGTGAGTTTTTAGATTACCTGATTGTCTGAATGTCTTATTGCATATACTGCATTCGTAGGGGCATTCTCCAGTATGCATGCGCATGTGTGTATTGAGGTTACTTATTTGTTTGAATGTTTTATTGCATATGTTGCATTCAAGGGAACGTACTCCACTCTGCACCAGCTTGGGTTTATCCAGATTACTTAAATGTGTATTCATGTGTGATTTCAAACCTCTTGATAGTTTGAAAGTCTTGTTACAGATTTCACATTTGAAAGGCCTTTCTTCGCTTTGACTAGGCAGGTGATTGACCATATGCTCCTTTAATTGATCTGGTTCTGCAAATGATTGATTACAAATGTCACATTCATAAGACTCCTGTTCGACTTCTTCTTCTATGAAAATTTCGGACTTTTTGGATCCTCCTAAACATGTTTCATCTTCCTCAGAACACAATTCAGATTTACCAATAGCATCAGGAACATCTAATTCCTCCACAAATTCGGGTTTAATGTCTTCTGCTGGATATTCTGGTGGTTCAATTTTAATTTCCTGGACATTCATAGACATGATTGTTTCTTCCGACATCTCTTAATATTTTCACTGTGTTTAATCAGTAAATATTTACGAAAACAGTTGTGGGCTAGATCAAAATTTAGTTTAATAAACAATCTAATAAATGATTTTAACTGGCATTGATTATTTGACATTTGAAGCAAAGAGTTTGTTTACAGAAAGATGAGACACCTATCATGGCGCGTCTTTTCAAATTTATTTGCCTCGTGCCTTAAGGCAAATTGCTGGAACTTCCCGTACCGTAATTAAAAATCTAGGTACGGAACCCAAAAAAAATTACACAAAATATGTACACATTATTAAAATCTCTATAAAATATCTGATAATTTGATGTACATATGTCCAATAAACATTTTTGACCTCTAAATGGTATTTTTTTAACTTTTATTGAGAGTCCATAACCGCTGGACCTGCCTTCCCAAAAATTTAATCAGTTTTTCATCTTGTCAATACAAATAAAATGTATTTTGAATTATTAAAATCGGACGCTCCGTTCTCTTAAAAACTGAGTTACCGTTTTTGGCACTTTTTGCCCCGTATCTTGGGAACGGCTAGACCTGCTTCGCCAAAAACTAATCAACACGTCTCCTTATCAATACCAATCGAATGTTTTTTTAATTATTCAAATCGGTTGATCGGTGCTCCCGAAATCGTCGACGAAAATTTGTATCCGCACACACGCACATAAATCCATTTTTTCTAAGTTATGCCAAAATATTCAGCAACCTTTGTAACGTAAAGATATATAAAAATTTTTATTTCCGATTTTTTTGCGATTGCTATAACTTGCCCTATAGGAAGTTAAAAAATAAAATTTAATTGAAAAGAATACTCTAGTGGTACATAGCGTCGTGGCTTAAGGCAAATTGCTGGAACTTCCTGTACCGTAACTAAACATTTGACTTATAAAAATAATCAATGTTTCAAAATTATTAATAGAATCAATAAAATATCATACTATTTTATATAATGATTTATTACACATTTTACAATCATTAAATAATACATGACATTTTGAAACAATCATATTTGGAGTTAGTAATTATTCATTGAATTTCTGTGTCTCTTCAAATCATTCGGTTGCGTAAATCCCTCATTGCATATTTCACATTTATAAGTTTACTCTTTATCATGAATCATCATGTGTTTTTCAAAATTACTCAATTCTTCGAATATCTCATAGCATACACTGCATTGATGTGAGTGCTGAACATTGTGTACCTTCAGACCACCTAACGTTTTGAATGTCTTATCGCATTTGTTGCACTTATGGGGGCGCTCATCACTGTGAACGACCATGTGGGTTTTCAGATTACTTTTTTGTGTAAACGTTTTATTGCATACATTGCACTCATACGGGCGTACTCCACTGTGGGTCAGCATGTGATTTTTCAGAGTAGGCAATAGTGTGAATGTCTTTTTGCATACACTGCATTCATGGGGACGCTCATCACTGTGAATGAGCATGTGATTTTTCAGAGTACTATATCGTGTAAACGTTTTATTGCATAAGTTGCACACATGGAGGCGTACTCTATTGTGTGACAGAATGTGACTTTTAAGACTATGTGAATATCTGAATTTCTTCTTGCACATATTGCATTCATGGCGGAGTACTTCACTGTGAATGAGTTTGTGTTTTTTCAGATTACTTGATTGTGTGAATCTCTTGTTGCATATAGTGCATTCATAGGGGCGCTCACCACTGTGAATGAGCATGTGACTTTTCAGATTAACTAATTGGGTGAACGACTTATTACATATATCGCATTCATAAGGTCGTACTCCATTGTGCTTCATCATGTGAACATTCATATCATACGATGTTGTGAATCTCTTTTTGCATATGGTGCATTCATGGGGGCGTACTCCATTGTGTCTCATCATATGTGTTTTCAAACTACCTAATAGTGTGAATTTCTTATTGCATACATTGCATTCATGGGGGCGCTCACCACTGTGAATTAACATATGTCCTGGCAGATGGCCTTTATTATTGAATGTCTTACCGCATATTTCACATTTAAAGGGAAACTTTCCAGTATGTGTATTCATGTGTAGTTGCAACACTCGTAATTGTTTATAAGTCTTCTTACAGATTTCGCATTTGAAAGGGCGTTCTTTACTACGACTACGCTTGTGAACGACCATATGCTCTTTCAATTGATGTGATTCTGCAAATGAACGATTACAAATATCACATCCATAAGCGAATGCCTCAATTGGCTCCTGTTTGACTTCCTCTTCTATAGTCACCTCGGAATTCATGAATCTTTCTAAAGTCGTTTCATCATCCTCAGAACACGATTCAGATTTAACAATAGCATCAGGATCATATAATTCATCCTCAAGTTCTGGTAAATTTTCTGGTGGTTCAATTTTAATTGCTTGTTCATTCGGAGACATAATTGATTCTTTTGACATTTTTAAATATTTTCACTGCGTATAAAAATAGCTGTGTGCTAAACAATAACAATAATAATCTAGTTTAATCAACACTCTTTTAAAATAGGTTAACCTAAATTTATGACATTTCCGGCATAGAATTTGTTTGTGGCAGCAGAGACATAGAGAACCATAATGAATTTGAAAAGATGCGCCACTTGTTAAATATCAAAGCGATTTGATAAATGTCTCACCTTTGTAAATCATACTCTATGCTTCAAATGTCAAATAATCTATGTAATGTTGAAATTAGTTGAAATCATCATATTTATAAAGATTAAAATATATTATTATTGATATTGTTTAGCACACAACTATTTTTGTAAATATTTACTTATTATACGAAGTGAAAATATTTAAAAATGTCAGAAGAAACAATAATGTCTATGAATAATCAGGCAATTAAAATTGAACCACCAGAATATTTAGTACAAGAAATTGATGATAAACATGAATTTCTTGATATGAAATCTGAATCGTATTTTGAGAATGATGAAACATGTTTAGAAAGATTCATGATATCCGAAGTGACTATAGAAGAAGAAGTCAAACAGGAGTCAATCGGGACAGCCACTTATGAAGCAGATAATTTAAAAGAGCATATGGTCAAGCCTAGTCATAGCGAAGAACGCCCTTTCAAATGTGAAATCTGTCATAAAACCTTCAAACGATCAAGTCATCTCAAAAGCCACATGCTGATGCACAGTGGAGTACGCCTCCATGAATGCGATATATGCAATAAGACATTCACACAATCATTCACTCTAAAAAGACACATGCTGGTGCACAATGAAGTACGCCCCCTTGAATGCAATATTTGTAATAAGACATTCAAAAAATTAGATATTTTGAAAAGTCACATGCTCATTCACAGTGATGAGCGCCCCCATGAATGCACTCAATGCAATAAAACATTCAAACTATTAAATCATCTGAAAAGACACAAACTGATGCACAGTGGAGTACGCCCTTATGAATGCAATGTATGCAGTAAGACATTCACACGATTATGTTATCTAAAAGCTCACAAGCTGATTCATGATGGAGTACACCCACATCAATGCGGTATATGCGATAAAACATTCACAGAATTAGGAAGCCTGAAAATTCACATGATCAAACATAGTAGTGAGCGTCCCCATGAATGCAAGATATGCAATAAGACATTCCAAATAGTAAGTCATCTGAAAAGTCATATGCTGGTACACAGTGGAGTACGACCGTATGAATGCAATGTATGCAATAAGAGATTCACCCGAATGAGTAATCTAAAAAGACACATACTGATTCACAAAGGAGAAAATGAATGAACTATTACTCTATCACAAAGTAAGTAGGAACTGTCTCCAAATATCAGGTATTATTTAATAATTGTAAAATTTGTAATAAATCATATTGTAATAGGTTTTTTTCAGGATAGAACAGAAGAGATAACTTTTGTAATAAGCATATATTGGAAAGTATAGTGTAAAACTTTTCAAAATACTGTGATAGATTTTTTTTACAATAAACTCCTTGTCAAAGTACTGAAGAATGTTACTATAGAATTAAGAAAT